GTTTTACTTGTTGTGGTGAAATATCCACTTCAAAGGTTTAGAAACGACCAATTTAATTTGAGAAGGTGATTTGTACGATATAGAGTTTAATTAGTTAAAAAAATTATATATATTAATGTCTAAAAGACATTTTCTACTGATGAGAATTTTGTTTAAAAAATAAAAATAAATGATAAAATAATTAGATTTAAATATATATAAATGGTCAATAATTATACAATTTTAAAAGTGATTTTAAGTAATTATTTTAAAAAAATAAAAGATTGAATCTATATATGAAAAAAGCATATTATCTTTATTAATAAAACTAATATAAAAAGGTACTTTGTATAATTTAAAAAAAAATAGTAATTAATAATATTTTTTTTAAAATTAATCTAGTTGTAAGCATAATTTTTTAAAAATGCTGAAGCGAAAGAGTAGTTTAAAGCATATTGTCTTTAGTGATAAAACTAATGTAAAAGGGTATTTTTATAATTTAAAAAAAATAGTATTAATGATAGATTTTTAAATTAATCTAGTTGTGAGCATAATTTCTAAAAAAAATAGTGAAGAGAAAGAGTAGTTTAAAAAATATAATTTAAGAGGTAGTTATAAAAATAAAATATAAAAAAAATATGTAAACAAATAAGATAATCTCTTTTTTAATAATATAGAAAATAACATATAGATAAAGATGCATCTTATGCTACATAAGTTTAGTAACTACTATTCAATTAGAATTAATTTGTTAAAAAAATTATTAGCTTATCACTTGGGTGACAATTCACATATTTGAAGGAAGGTTAATATAGTCTGTCTACACAATACGAAGTAGGTGGCCAGTAGGTGTGTCTATAAATGGAGATTACATTTCCTGTGTATTTAAGAATTGGAAACCAAACTCAGATTTGAAGTATATCAAATTTCGCAAACGAAATAAAAAAATAAAAAAAAAATACACACAAGAAAACATGTTTTTTTTAATGGTTAAAACATATTTTTTTTAATTATTTGTAGTTTTACTCGCTTTACTTTTTAGTGTTTATAATTTAAAATAATTTTTTTAATTTTTATACTCATCATTTTTTGTCTTATAGTTTAACATAGATATTTTTATCTCTATATTTGTATTTTTTTAGTCTTTATTATTATTTTTTTATAACATTAACTATTTTGTATTAAAATACTAGACATTTAATTTTGAGAAGGTAAAAAAATATATCTCAATAATGACGTTACAAGATAACAAAAAATATTTTAATAATGATATTACACATGAATGTACAAAAGAGATACGAAAATATTGAAAAATTTAATTTAAATTAAACAAATAATTTTGACATTAAACAAAAAAAGTTAAATTTATATTTTTATTATGTCAACATAAAAAAGAGAATATTAAAAAAATCATAATAGAGACTAAAAAATTAAAAATTATAAGTATAAAAATTAAAAATATTTATCTTAAATTATAAAGACTAAAATAATTAAAAAAATAAATATAGAAATTTAAAAGTTCTATTTTAAATTATAAAAATTAAAAGATAAAATAAATGAAATTATATAAAGTTAAAAAAAAAGGTATTTTTAATTAGCTACAAGGTTTCACAGTTAGAAATGTTACAATTACAAGAGTTGGAAGCTCAAAACTAGGAATGGCAATGGGATCCCGTGAGAGTGGGTAATAGTAGACCTGCCCCTGTCCCGCTAGATGAAATTTGGTCTCATACTTATCCCATATCCGCGCGGTTATCTATTAAGCGGATGTCTATGAATTTCTTGAATACTCATGAATATCCATGGATATTTATAAATTTTTTAAGAAATTAAAAAAATTATTACAAATAATTTTAATTTATATTTGATGTCATTGAAATATCAAAAATAAAAATAACAATTAATATGTATTTATTAGAAAATAAAAAAGAAAGAGAGTATAATAAAAAATATCAAATATATCTTATAAAATTAAAAGAAATTATTACATTTTTTTATTTGCATATAAACGATCTTAAATGAGTATTAAAGAAGAATGGAGGTGATAATAAGCATAGTCCCATGTTTCTCTTAACGTTGGAAAATTAAAAGATCCCTCGAGGAATCTCATGGTATTTTTGAACAACATTGTCAAATTTAAAGACCATGCAGATAAAGATAAAGGAAGTTGGGTAGTTTATACATAAAGAAACAAATGAAAACAGGTTAGGGATAGTTTATAATAGGGTCATGAAGTTGATTACATTTTGCTATGGACAAGTTATTTATTAGTAATTTGAAAGTATCCCACGTGGTGTTACTCTTATAACATGTCTCTACTAATCATTTCATAAAGAAGCTTCTCTACCTTATCATTCTCATATTTTTAAACAGAGGAGAAATAATTATTTCAAAAGTTATAGCATTAGGGGTGCAACCATTATCTTCCATTTCTTTCTTACTCATTTTACAAGACTATTACTTAAAAAATTTAAAACCAATATTTTTATATTTGGTCCTGTGCACAAGGATAAAACTTTGAGAAAAAAGACTAAACCCTAAAGTAAAAAAGTTTTACACCGTGATCAATTCTAAACAATCATTTATTTATTGACTTTAATAATAATTAATTCAAAAATTATATTAATATTGGTTTGAAACATACACTTAGGTGATCTCACAGTTTTTGAAAAGCTTCCGGTTTGAGTTGTTTTGTCATCAAATCAGCTACTTGATCTTTGGTTCCACAGTGCACAACCTCAAGTACACCATCTCGAATTAATTTATAAAGACTATATAAGTTCTTTGAAATTGAACATCCATTTCAAGGGGAAATATGAATCAAAATCCTTACACATGGAGACCGATATTGTTTTGTTTGATAGGCGAAACAATCAAGAAGGCTTAAGTCAAGTCTAATTGTTATCCACGGGGACAAATTTAAAAATGAAAACTTGGGAACTAACCGTGAGAAAATCATTGTGGTAAAATATGTCAATTAATCGTAAGAGGTTAGACATAGAACTAGGCATTCACCAGTTCAGAATCCTCTTAAGTGATCACTTACCAAGAAGTCTGTGTTACCCGGGTCAGCAAAAAGCATCAATTTCACCACGAGGTACCTTGCAAATGACAGTCATAGTCAATATTTGCTTTCCAATGAATCAAATATCTTCATATCATAATATTCTGGCCACTTGTACTTTGATGTGTCTCCACAATCTCTATAGCTTTTGCAGCAATACAAGATTTATCCAACTTTATGCAAGTAACTGTGAGCAACAATAAGCATATTTTGCGTTAAAGCCTTGATTTTAAATTTGTATCTTGCAATGTTTACATGAAGAAGCCAGCTACGCTACAAAAAGGGTTCCTGCACGAGCATGAAATAAACGGCTGGAGGGATGGCAGGCCCAGGTCAGACCAATTGATAAGGTACTGCTATGGTCTAACAAATATCTAAAACTATTCTAGAATAGGCTAAGGATTGATTATCTTTTCGGTCCATTCATTCCCAATCATTGGTACTATATAACCAGTACAATGAGTCAATATGTGGCTTTCCACAAAATGCTGTAACAAAAAAGAATATAAAGTGTAGTAACAGAGGAATATAATAACAAAATGCAATAAAACAACACAAATGCAGAAATTATATAGCTATTATCCTATTTGATACTCCTCATGATATTAGATATGTAGTCTTGCAATTTCATGGACCGCTTAGTTTCTCTTTTGGGTCTGGACTCATAGGTTGTGTTGCTAACATCTACACTGGCATGACTTATGTTGGCCAAGCATTACTATAATATATTAATTTGACACAATACTGAACTCAATGTTTATTAAACCTACTGACTGTAATTCTAGAAATGAAGGCCTTTTCAACTGTATACTTGTATATACCACGGCTAGAAATAAGGGTTTGTGTATATGAAACCTAAGTGTATATACAGCATTATTTATGCACTTCATTTTACAAATAAGATATCTTCGGGCAACATTTAACAGTATAAAAAGAATGGCTCTTCAGTTAAAAAAAACTTTACCTTACTGGCAAGATAACTGTAGTTTAATGTAGAGGCAGCAAAACCAAAAGATTCCATCAGGTGACAGAGATTCTAGCAGCCATCTTTGCAAAAATTGAATATTTGACAACTGAATCCAGGCTCAAGAGCCACCCTATCCCTACTTAAGAGATTTAACTTGAATGTTATGCCATCTACAATTCCAGCAGACTCATGACCCTAGACCATGGGTTTTTTGACAATGCAATCAGCACCTTTCATTGCCTAACAACAAAGGTAGCTTACACAAACCAGGAAAATAACAAAAACCAAAGAGCTAATAAGTCATAAGCACTCCCCACACAGAAGAACAGAGTGAAGCACAGCCTTCTGGTTTCTGTCTAGATTGATATTTGCATGGCCACAACAAGCTTGTCTCCAACAAGTAGTTCAATCATAGCCCTTTCCTCCAAATTCACAAAGCCAGGTAGCTTAAAGCACAAATTGGCATGATGCATTCCATGGTAATTGAAATGAAAAATCACTTGCAAAATGGAAAATTTACTGAAATTCAATACAATCATTTTGATTGTTAGATGAAAAAAATCTACTGGTTATTGAATATATGCAAAATTTAACCATCAAATCTTCAATGTTAGGCTCCTGGCTTTTATTGACAAGAACAAACACTAGTGCTTTTTGCTAATTAACTTTAGTTTTTATCCTATCAGTGGTAGAGTGTGCAAAAAAAAAAAAAAATCCGTCCTTTAAAAAGCTTTAACAATTTCATTGAGAAAAATGTAAAACACAACAGAATGATAGAAAAATATCCTAGTAAAATAAGAGACGAAACTAAACTGACTGAAAAATTTCACCCTAAACCTCAGATGGAACACAGATCAGTCAAAATTGGATTGAAAATACTTAACATAATGACCATCAGTAGATTAAAGAAGCTGATTCATTGGAACACAAATGCATATATAAACAATTGAAAGTAGGTTAGGGATAGTAAATACAAATAAAGAGAATGAATGATTGACTACTTTTTGCTTTCAATGAGTTATTTATTAGTAACAAGAAAGCATCTCACCGAGTTTAACTCTTACAATAAGCCTCTAGCAATCATTTCTCACCAAGTTTAACTCTTACAATAAGCCTCTAGCAATCATTTCTCGGAGCAGTTTCTCAGCCTTATCGTTCTCATCTTTTTCAAATAGAGCAGAAATAATTATTTCAAAAGTTATAGCATCAGGGATGCAACCTTTCTCTTCCATTTTTGACCGCAAGGCTAATGCTTCATCAAACAACCCCACTTTACAGAGTCCATTGATCATAACATTATATGTCCAGACATTCAGATGATGGCCCTTAATCAAAAGATACCGAAAAACTTCTTGCGCTTTCTCAAGTCTTCCACCTTTGCACAGTCCGTCAATAAGTATTGTGTATGTATACTTATCTGGCTGAATTCTACGACTATTCATTTTCTTGAATAATGCAATTGCTCTGTCTAGATGACCATTTTTGCATAAAGCATCCAATAAGGAATTGTAGGTAATTATATTGGCTGGTTGACCTCTATCATGCATCTCATTAACAAGATTCCAAACATCAGTTATCCTTCCCGATTTGCACAAACCATCAATAAGTGAATTATAAGTTATTGTACCAGGAATCATATTTTTGCGTTGCATGTCTTCAAAAAGATTGATGGCTTCATCTATCATTTTCTTCTTACATAATCCATCAATCATGATATTATAGCTATAAACATCATGTGCCACTCCTATTTGGGACATAGAGTTGAATACATGCTTTGCTTTTTTCACTTCATTAACTGTGCGATATCCGTCCATTAATGTATTATAAGTAATAACATCAGGTTCCACATCTGTTTTTACCATTGCAGCTATCAAAATTTTAGCTTCTTTTATGTTTCCTTCCTTACATGACGCATCAACCAATATGTTGAAGGTAACAATATCTGGGTTGATGTTTTTCAATTTCATTCCATTTAACAATGTAATTGCTTCTTTGAAATGACCCATAACACAAAAGCCATACATTAAACTACTGAAAGTGACAACATTCGGAGAAATCTTTTTGACAAGCATTTCAGAATACAAATTACAGGCATCAGCAACAAGTTTATTTTTGCATAAGCTGTCGATGATTGTGCTGTACATTACCACATTAGGTTTAATTGAATGCCCTTCAATCCTTTTGAGCAACTGTATGGCAGCCTTTGTTTCTCCTGATTTACAAAGACCATTGATCAAAGTCCCATAACTAACATGGTTCAACTGAAATCCTTGAGCTAAAGCGTCATCATGAAAGTGCAGTGCTTTCCTAAGCTGACCACAAAAACATAAACCTTTGATGAGTGTTGTGAGGGTTATTGCATCTGGCTTATATCCCATTTTGAGAATTTTGGCAAACACAGAAAAGGCAAAATTGATGTGACCGAGGTGGCAGAAGCAATTGATGAGGATGCTCAATGTAACAAGGTCTGGTGTAATTGCTTTGAATTCCAATTGTTTAGAGAGGGAAATAGCAGTTGGGTAATGCTTCATCTTGACAAGGGATCCTAAAATGTGGCCAAAATGGAAGATGGGCGGGGAAGGATGCATATCGAGCATGCGATTGAATGAGGCAACGGCATTGTCGTGATTAAGAGGCTGAGATTGGGAATGGAGGTTTGCATTTTGATAAGAAGGAAGAAACCTTCGAAAAATAGAGATAAAGGGTAAAAACCTGGATCTTAATATTAACAAAGACATTGCTACTCAAATCTGTTACTGCACCAAAAAGTAAGTACAAAAACAAAATAAGAAATTTTGCTGTAATTAGAAGAAACTTTGGAAAGAGAGAGATAGAGAGAAAGGGAGAAAACCTGAATCTTTGTAATGACATTGTTCTCCAAAAATAAGTATGGTTTAAGGGTTCCGACCGCGCTGAATGATTTTAGAAGGAAAAAAAGGAATTGTTGTGTTGGGTTAATATAGGTATGACAATGACTCGATGCTAGCGGGTAATTTAAACTCATCCTTATCGTGCCGGATGAAAATTCATCACATATTCACTCTATGAAATTTTTTTTAATATCTATGGATATTTATAAATATTTATAAATTTTTTTAAAAATTAAAAAATTATATTATAAATAATTTTAAATTTATATTTAATATTATCAAAATATTAAAAATAAAAATTTAATATTAATTTTGAACTTGTATTTAACGTTAATTTTGTTAAAATAATAATAAAAATACAAGATAATTAATAACTTAAAATATATCAATTTCACAAGTAAGTTAAAGTCTCATCACAAAGTTACAATAATTCAATCTCTTAATTTTATATGAAAGTAAACAACTTAAAATATATAAATTTTATTGGTTCAATCAAAACTAGAAAATTAATCAAATTACATCCAACATAATTCTATAACATGTTTAATACATGTTGGTAACTTCATCAACCTCACTTTTGTAAGAAAAAAAATGAGAGAGTGTAGTTTTATGGTTATATGGTACAAGAATAATTAGGATATTTTAAAAATATTATTAAACGGGTACCCCGCGGGTATGGATATTAGCATATCCGCTCCTGCCCTATTTATAAACGGGTAAAAATTTATTCATCTCCATTATCTGCGGGCACCTAATTAGTCTATCTATTTATTATCCATAGCGGATTTTATCGACAGATACCCGCGGGTGCGGGTATTTTTGTCATCTCTACTCAAAACCTTGTTTGGATTTTTCTTTGGAAAAAAGGCTTTTCAAATAAAGTCCCAATTTATGTGTGTTTGATTTTAGAAAACATTTTTTATTTTAATTTTCTATTTTTATTTTTAGAAAATAATTTTTATTTTCTAGTTTTAAAATTTAGAAAACATGTTTGGTTTGATTATTTTCAATATAACTTTATGAAAGATTTTTTTTTATAAAATTTTCAATCAAAATTGCTCTCTAATTAGAATAATATTTTATTTTGTAAATATTTTACTTTTTTTACTCTATCTTATATTTATTCTCATTTTAATCCTTTCTTTTTATAATAGTTGGATTTTACTCTAAAAACGTGCAAATATTTATTATATTTTTTTATCAAATGAATAATTTATTATCTAACAAGTAGTAATTATATATTAAAATAATATATATATATATATGTATATATATATATTATCTTTATAAACAATATATATAATTAATACTTGTCTTGAAATATATCAACCAAAACTTAATCATATTAAATCTTAATTATATTTAATAAATAATATTTAATAAAAATTATTAAATAATATAAATAACATATGTAATTAAAATTCTATAGGATAATTATGTATAATAAGTATTATAATATTAATATATAATACATATGCAAACATCAAACAACTTTTCTATACACAAAAAAAAAATATAAGATAAATTGATTGAATCACATGGATAAAATTTTTTTAAGTCTATTAAATTATGTGTGTGACTACAAGTTTAGAAGCAAGTTCATAAATTTTTTTTAATAATTACCCTTACATGTCACTGCGTTTTCAAAAGTGTAAAAAAATAGTAAAAATGACATTTTTTTTTCATTTTCAATTTTAGATTTCTTTTAAAAATATTTTCTAAAATTAAAAATAAATATATTTTCGTACTTATTTTTATTTTCTTTAAAAATGAAAATAAAAAACTGTGAAAATCCTAAATTATCAGTATAATTAAATCTATCTACTTGTTGACGAGCTTGTTTTCTTTGGAAATAGATCTTTTACAGTGAGGCAAAAAATATGAGAGGGTAAAGTTCACGATTTCATTGTTTATTAGTAGGGATTTCATGCGGGGATAATGATAATGTAACTAAAAAAACTCATTTTCATTTTCTTTATCTTAAGAAATGTAAGATTTTATCAACTAGAGATCCTTCTATCTATGGTGGAGGATGCACGTTGTCCTTAACTAAATTCCCTTTAAACTAAAAAAAAATAGAAGAAAAGGATGAATATAGAGGAAAAAAAGTTTACAAATTGAATAAGAAGATAAGAAATAGACTTTAAGTTCATGTTCACTTGAACATGAGAGGGACTTCCGATCGTTTAACACATTGCATTGATGATCAAGCTTGTTGCTGATAAAAATGTTGGTTATTAGGTCACAAGAGATTAATTAGAATCTCTTTGAAAATCAATAGTGGAGATGAGAAGCATTAACAAATTATATGGTGAAAATTGATCCTAAGGCTAATAGCATGAAAGTTATAGGAGGAAGGTAAGGATGTTTGACCACTATCTCATAGTTCAAATTTAAACTACATGATTTGTTTCTCCTATTGTACAATTCAAGTACACTTTAGTTTGGGTATGTTTGCCAACTTCAAACTTAGTTTATTACATAGTGTCTTAATGGCTGTAACTTTAATTATGTCAAAGATGAGACCAATATTCGTAATTTTTAAATAAGGCTAATTTGCTGGAATTTGTATATAAAGGTTGATCTTATAAAATTCATTGTAGAAAAATGATGACTAAAAAGACACTAAAACAAGGTAAAATATGAGGGTTTACACATTATACGTTATATGTGCGTGTGGCTGTTGTGGTCATGTCATGAGACTATTAAATAAAAAATTATCATTAAGTTGAAATTACTCCAATAATTTAAGTGGAGTTTGGTCAAGAAAAATGGAAGATGACAAAGTGTTATCAATGGAAAAGATACTTAGAATATTGTCAAATCTACGAGCGTTACATTTACTTTCATTGTTATGAGTTTAATGAAAAAGTTACATTCCATGGAGATTGGTTAGTAGTTCTGAGAAGAAAACAAAAACAACAATAAAGATAAGAACAAAACTCAACATAACAATACGTGGAAAATCAAGCAGAATAAAATAATTTTAACAAGTTAATTAAATATTAAATTTGAATTTAAAACATTTGAATAAATAAAACAATGATAAGAGAACAAATAGATATACTTGGAGTTACCCCCGACAAGATTGTTCTTGTGGTTGTTTCTACATCGCAAAGTCAAACTACGTGAGGTCATTAACTAAACACACCAAAAAAGGAATTTTTTTTTCTTTCCCAAATAGAGTAACAACTAGAGTAATATTTAAACTCATAAAAATTATAATTTACATTTTTCTCTCCAACTCTCAAAATAAAAAATAACAAATGACTAAATATATATATATATATATATATATATATTTATATATATATATATATATATTATCATTGAATAGTCAATAAAATATCTCTCTGTTCTTATGTGGTTGAATGACCTTCATAATAATATTTCAGTCCTATTTTATTTTCATAATATGTATGGTTATAATAGTTCACATCATATGGAGTTATGTAATGGTAAGTTAGAGTAAAAGAAATAACATTTATACATGTTTAGATTTTTTGCACTTCTCCGGTCTCTCCTCGTTGCCTTTCCGTTTCGGCTCCCCATGAGCAACCTCCTTCCCCTTCTTCCCCTTTCGGCGCTTCCTCTCAGGAATGGGCGGGTTTCGGTCATCTTGAACTGGGCCAGGTATTTGGGCAGGGGTCGAGCTCCCCACTGCCCCCGAAGCCTTAGCTTGCTGCATTCGGCCGGCAAGGAGGTTGCGGATGTTGAATTCGTCGGCACCACTTGTCACCATAACAGTTGTATTTTAGCCTTACAATACACAAGTTAAGTGTTTATTATATATAATTACATTGTACAACTCTATTTTTAATCAAATAGGCTAAGTATATAGATTCTTCGTTCTTTATTCCTTAAGTCTAGGGAACTGTGTATTGTTTCAACTTAACTTTCAACCAATCAGATCAAATGTGTAAACTCTTCACACTTTTATCCTTGAGCCTGAAAGGCTTTGTATCCTACAATTCTATTTTCGACTGAATAGGTCGAGTGCACATGCTCTTTGTACTCCACTCCTCAAGCTTGAAGAGTTATCTACCATCTCAATTCAACTTTCAACCGAGCATATAGTTAGTACTAGACAATGCCATGATTTTCACAAATAGGTTTGAGAACAATTATAAATGTAATTTATGGATTCATTATAAATAGTAAAGATAGTGCACATTTTATAGGATCGTGATTAGAAGTAACTAATTCCCACCTTCAATACGACATCATATGCAAAGGTGTTAAGGGTTTGGAATAAGGCAAAAAATACTCTCAAAATGTGATGGGCTTAGATAACAACTAGTTTCTAGTGGTTATCCTTCACACCAGAGTAATAACTAAAAGTCTTAAATATGTTTTTGGTCTTTTGCAAAAAACTTTATTTGTTTTTCATTACCATAAAATTAAAAATTTTATTTTATTATATATGTGATATTTGTTAATTACTTTTGTATTTATCACATGGTCAAGTGATTATTTCTAATGACACCTACAACTATATTAGGGCTTTTTTACCCAACAAGGGTCAATATGAAAACTTATTATAGAAATTGGACTGTTTTGAAACTTTTTCTCACTTTGGGGTGGTCAACGTAGGTGTCGTTGGTTAACACAATGTCATCTCAACCCACATATTTTTTATAAAAAAAAAGGCTAGAAATTAACACATGGTGCCTTACTGGTAAAGTCGAGCTTCGTGCACTAATAGTGATTTTACACACAACTTCAACGACACTTATTCTAACTAAATTAAAACAAGTATTGCTACCCCTAAGTGGAGGATCAATATATTTTTTTATAATAATTTGTGTCATTATCTCCCAATAGAGGACTAACTTTTTTTATTTATTTTTTGTTCTTTTAGTGTTGTTGTCGTCAAATGGGAGATTTTTTTTAATTGATGCTGTTATCCCTCAATGGAGTACTTGCTTTTATTTATTTTGTCGAAATCCTCAAATAGAGGAACTTATTTATTTATTTATTTATTTATTTATTTTAGGTGTCATTATCTCCTAATGTAGGACTTCTTTAAAAAAAATTTATTAAAGGAGAGTTGTTGTTGTGTCCCATTAATGGGAATTTTTATTTATTTATTCACGTTGTCTTTAAGTAAGGGATTTTTTTTTCTTCTAATTGACGTTGTCTTACTTCTTTATATATGTTTTCCACCACACTAAGGTGTGTGTGTTTATTTCTAAATTTGAGTGGTAAGAGTGTCATAATTTTTTTAAAATTAATTATTGTTGATAATTTTAATTTTTTTACTGTTGTTCTTTTTATTTTGTAGATACATTATTAGGATATTATGGATTAAATTGTAGCTTTTATTTATATCAAAATATTTGAAGGTCTAGAAGGTGTTATATTTAATGATCCAAAGAAAATAGTATAATAAACGTATCTTTGGAGGTTTTGAAAAAAAAATATTTGTAACAAATTTTGTCTTAAAGATGATCAAGTCATATTATTTGTAAATATTAATTTTTTAACTAGAAATAAATATGAAACCATGAAATTGAGCAATGATGATGACATTCAATGCATGATAAACATGTTTCATAACCAAACAATTATGTTAATAATGAAATTATGCTTCAAAATTAGCGTCGAAGGTACATCTTCAACTTCATTACAAAATCTAGTGCTTTGCCTAGTTAATGAGCAAATTCAATGTTTGGCAAATATGTCAAGAGAAGAAGACGAAGATGATGAGGACGATAAAAACTATCATGTTTCACTTTTCATTTCAAAGTTGAGATGAATCAAGTGAAGATCAAATAGATGATTATATATCATCTTATGACAATGTTGTTGAACCTATTTTTATGGTTCATTCTCAGAAAGATAATGTATAAAAAAATTATGATAAATAAAAATTAAATTAAATATAAATTTAAAAGAATATAAAAAATTATCTCGTCAAAGAAAAATTCCTAAAAGTATACTCTCGCATAAAATAATAGTTCGCATTTTATATATGAGTTAATTGGTTACAAGTATGGGAGTTAATAAGCCCTCTGTTTCAAACTTCATGGATGTAGTTATGACTCAATTGCATAAGATGGCTAAAAGTTATATCACTCCTATGCAAATAGTATTATGTATAAAAATAAATTATATGATTTTAGCCCTCAATAACAATGATGGTGGGAGAGGGAAAAGTGTGGGGGCCTTATCTATGAAATATAACAATAATTAGTTATCATGAAATTGAGAGAACAATATGGAGTGATATAAGCAATTGTACATTCATATGAAATATAACAATTATTCACAAGAGATTAATATATTTATAACAACATGGAGATTCAAGTTGTCATGAAAACCATCATTTTTGTAGGAGGTTGATGTTGGATTATTACCGATAAAGGTTAACCTAACTAGTAGGGGGATTCAACTTAAATAATAGGAATAAATATGTCCATTCTATTAAAGGGAGATAGAATCATGTTCTCATTTCTCATTTGTACCTTAAGTTTAAAGTGATGGTTGACATTTAGAACATGTGTAATAGTTGGATAAACATAAACATCGTTTTGTTAGTGTTAGCAATACAACATTTTTGACAACATGAAGTTACATGAGAATTGACATATAATAATAAGGTATGAAAATTTGTGTGGATAACTATTTACTATTGTGTGTTGTATTTGTATGATTATTTGTGTGTGAATACAATAAACAAATGTACATTTAGGGGTGGAAATTTTGATGGGAGGAGAAGTGTTGCAGAATATAATATACACATGTTGGTCATGTAGTGAGATGTTCATTTATTTATTTATTTTTTCTATTGTGTGGTGACTTAAGAGTGAGGGTTTGATTTGGATTTATAATGAGTTTAATACAATATAGAGTGACCAAGAGAATATTCTTAATTATAAAATATATATTAAGATTCTATCTAGTAGGATTTTTTGTTGTTGGAATTAAGATGGTAGTATAATTTTTTTTCCATATATATAGCACTTGGACAATTATAAAATATATATTAAGATCCTATCTAGTAGGAATTTTTGTTTTTGGAATTAAGATGGTAGTATAAATTTTTTCATATATGCGTATATAGCACTTGTACTTAGTATATATTAGTATAATATATATTAATATAATAATTTACTTTTTTAATAAAAATAAGATTGAGAGAAAGCCAATTGGTAGATGCATGTGTCTCACCAATCACTATATTTAGATAGTCAGGATGATAGTATCACTATTTTTTATAGTCAAGAAGGTAGCATCAAGTAGCTTGAATTCTAAATCAACTCATATGATAACTAAAATGGGTGTGCTACCTCATTTATGAATAATAAGTTTGTGATCATATGAAAAATTGAAAACTTTCTTATAAGGTGGATTTTATCATGAATCGTCATTTTGTGTTTTACGAAAATGATTCATTAGTATATAGTAAACTATTGATTAAATATCGTTAGATTGATAAAAATTTAAATAAACAAATTTGACTTATCAACTTTTATTTAATATTTAAATTAATTTATTAAATTAAATGTCTATTTTAATCCTTATTCAAAATACCATTGTCACCATCTTTTTGATCGAACTTGAATTGCAATTTCTGTAAGAGTTCTCATCATATTCCATAATCATCTGTTAAAGATTCAGATGAAAAAAGAATGTTTTAGACTAATAATTTTGTTTTGTTACAATCTTGTGCTGTGGATTTGAAATCCCTTTTCACCGCAAGGTTTCATCTTCAAAGCAAAAGTATCAAAAGTCAAAAAGATTTGAAATCTCTTTTTATGCACATAAGCACCATGGAGTAGCAAAGTCCGATCTGACAAGGATAATTACAGTACTACGAGCCAACGACTCAAGGAAGGGATGACACTTTATCTCTTTTTCCTCGACAGTGATGAAGATTAGGATTTTGGTAAAGATAGACTGGAGAGATTATGCGTACCAAGGAGAATGGGTGTCTGGGTGATGGTTGTCGAGGAAGAGAAAAAGGAATAGTTTGAGAATAATAATGAAAACGAAGATGTGGAGAACGCATAAGGGTATAAACGTCACTATTTTATTATTTTTTTAAAAACTAAAAAACAAATAAAAAATATTTTTTTATGGTTCACACATGAATCACTTGAAGTAGTTCTTCACCGTAGAAAACACCTTCTTATAGCATACATTTAGGTTTCAAGAAAATTTAAAAGTATAAATCATCTCTCACACTCGTATCAATATTTTTACTAAAAGAGTTTTCAATACATTTATAAAATCGATTGAAATGATCATTTGTCGATTTAAGGTCTAACATTTGACTTTTCTCCAACAAATTTAAAAGTCTACAATGTGATTCAAGGAAAACTTATTTTTTTAGCTTTAAAAACATATTAAATGTCATCAAACTCACCAATAATCATCTAAGAAAAATAATAAAGAAATAAATATAAGTTGAGTGACATTACAATAGACACCAATTATGTATATTGGACTCACATGTATAACTCATTAACTAACATTAGCAATGCCAAAAAAAATAACTTAGGTTATTGTTTGAAAAAACTATTAACTATAAAACAAGGAAAATTAGAATAAGAAGAAAAAACCCAGATGCTCCAAAAGTGGTCTCTTTTATTTTATTTTTAGAAGTAGTAACATCATAGTATCTTAACCTTAGAGAAAATTGCTTGTGTTTCATTAATAAAAAACCAAAGATGGCCTACATTTTGGCATAAGTTCTTAATCTAACCTTCTAGTTGAATATTTAAAGTTACCTTAATA